TGCACTCTCTGCGGCGCTTTTCCTCCTGGTGATATATCTCCCCAACAATGGCAGCAGTAGCACCGAATCCCATTCTGTGCATTCAGCCTTTCTTCTCGCCCGCTCAGCATCAAACACATGGAGTTCCTCATCTGTATACTCCGGCTCAAACAGGTATGGCTCTGGGTCTGTGTCCGCTACAAGAAACTCTTCCAAACTCGTTCAAAGTCGTCCATTGCAGCTACTATAGTCTGGAGATATTGCAAGGCTAAATAAACAGCTGAGTACTGTTTACCGGCTACGCTGTCAGTCAGTGTGCGGGCTGGAGATTGGCGGAGCAGAGAGGGGAGGGGGTCCCCACTCGGTATGGTAAACGAGTATGTGTGTATGAAGTGTGTCTGTTACTCTAGAAGAGTGCTCAAATAAACTGGCCTTTTTCCCAAACGCTCCTCTGGTCTCCTGCTCGTGAGGGATTCATTACAATATTTATCATTTCATCATTTTCATTTACCCAACGGGGGGTGAGCGAGTGAGCCTTGCAATCTAGAATTTGACCACTGATGTCACTGTTTTCAACCCATTTTACACACTGGCCCTTTAATGCTGAAATAGCATATGAAAATTGTAAAAATAAATAAATAAATACATGGCATTGCTTGGAATGGGTAGCTGAGTTGCTCTCTGCCCAGGCATGTAGCACCAGTTAGCATCATAGCTAGGCTAGGCATTTAGCAGATGCCTGGACAGCCTGAAGGGTATAGCCAATCAGAAGCAGAGTAGGAGCAGGTCTTCAGTGGTTAAGGCTTTTTAAGGTCATTTTAGTCTCTTGCAATTTTAGACAGGCCACAAACATCTAAAATCAGGGTCTAAATATGAATAAAATAGTTTCAAATATAATCTCTGATTTCCTGGCTTGTCTTAGTCAGTAGAGACAAAGTCCTTCACTTCTGCCTTTTTTCTTTTTTCACTTTAATCGCAGGCGTCCAAACCATCCATTGTAACTACTGTATGACTACTTCCTGGTCATGGTCAGGTTCTTGCCCCTCCTTTATTTTAACAAGTTCAGAGAAGGTACTGTATAATGTGATGGGACAATGTGTTGTAAGACTTGTTTGAAGCACCCACATGCCCTCGCCTGTCTCCCCCTGTTCACACACAGGCCTTATTACCACAACACATTTTTAAATTGCTTTGTCTCCCGTCTTTCATTCCTCCCTTCCTTCCTTTTCCTCCCATCTGTCTGTGTGTTTGTTTCGCTTTGCTGTGCTGCTCATTTCCACACTCTTCTCCTTGCTTTGACATGGCAGGCAGCCGGAATTTCCAGGCCCCCATAACCCCCCCCCCCCCAATCAAAAATTCATAGAACCGGGCAAACAGACGCGCGGAGCCGCAAGAAAAGGCGGCTATACACCAACTCTCCCATCAATCCCTCTCTTTCTCTCTCTCGTTTTCTGTCTTCTTTCATCTTTCCCTTGCTCGATCTCTCTCTTTATGTTGCCCGCTCTTCCTCCCTCACCGTATCTCTCTCTCACCTCACATTTCATCTCCTCCTCTTTTCTTTTTTCACCCTTTTTTGCTCCCTTTCATCTCTCTATCACCCCTCTCTGTCATTGTGGCAATTTTCTCCCATCGTGGCAGGCATGCAACTGCCATCCCCTCTCGCTCTCTCTTCCTCTTCCTCTCTCGCTCTCTCTCTCTCTCTCTCTCTCTCTCTCTCTCTCTCTCTCTCTCTCCCTCCTTCTCTTGTCGTTGTTTGACACCGTCAACAAGCAGGTAGAGGTGGCTGTTATTGTTGATGCCTCTGCAGAGGTTCCAGGTAATGAATAAAAGAGAGATAGAGGGAGGAGGAGAGAGAGAGATGACAGAGACAGAGATAGAAAAAGGGGAAAAGACAGGTTGGGGTGTTGGCAGATTCCCCTGCATTACACAGCAGCTTGACTGTGTCACCCATGTTTATTCTCTTTGTTGGTGGAGGTGAGGCCCGCTGTTAGACACACACACATACACACACTCACACAGCAGCAAGACAATACACAGATGCAAACACACATCTACAGGTACACACGCTGCATAGAAACAGCAATGACATGTTTTTACAGACATGTTCACCACAGACTTTAATACATACACACACAGACACCTGTATAAACTGTACACTGACACACATGCACACTCTCACAGCACCAGCTCCTGATACTAATTAATCTTAGACCATAAAGGAGTCATTCACATTAACTGGGTATTAATGAACACTAAAATGACAACTAATAGCTAATAATAACTCCCATAACAACTTATTAACCTATGTCATTTGATATATTTCTCTGATGTATTTTCACAGGTTTAAATTACAGACACAGAGAAATGAAAAAAAGGCTGTAATCCCACGTTTCTGTTTTGCAGTAATTATCCATTTATCTTATCTTATCTTATCTTATCTTATCTTTTTACCCTTCCCTGTAAAACACTGAAATATATAGAATGAGTCATCTTAAACTTAGGGTCATAACCATGTAAATATATACAGTCATTTGATTTTGGGCAGTTAGGTAACCCTGGCGTTTATTTGTAGTGTCAGTGGACTACCTCTGTAAAGTAGAAAATTGACAGGTTTTTGCTTTAAAGTAGCAGTCTATAAGATTTAGGGGGATTTAGTTGTATCTAGCAGTGAGGATTGCAGATTGCAACTAGCTGAAACTTCTTGTTGGTTTCAGTGTCCATTGTTCATTAGGTCTATACCATGAGCCAAATTATCCGCAGAGGTCTCTTCCTCTCCAAAACAAATGGACTTGGTGATTAAAATGGGTAAAAGCTCTGAATAAAGCAGATTCACATTTTTAAAAAAATCAGTGTTTTTCCAACGCTGTTCGTTGTAGAGGGGTTGCTATTTACAGTGGCTGATGCAAAAATCTAAATGTATCTAGAGCCAGTGTTTAGTTTGTCTGCTCTGGGCTACTGTAGAAAGATGGTGGACTCCATGGATGAGGACCTGCTTGCTATAAAGATATAAATGGCTCACTCTAAGGTAGGTAATTTTGGACTTAGAAAAGCATGCATATTATGTTATATTGCACTTCTGCTAATATATCCCCCTAAATCCTATGCACTGGACCTTTACCTTTGCTGTGTTTATTGCACGATATAATGACTATAAAATAATAACACCATCTGCATTTAGATTGGTTCTTTTTAAGCTTGCTTTCGCAATGCAATTCTGTCTCCCACTGGAAACAACTACCCGGAAAATGAAGGCTCGAAAAGGAAGTGCGTCAACGACTGTGCAACCAAAACCTGGAAGACGATAGCACTTGTGTTTTCCTTGGTAGTATCCCTAGCTATCCCCAGTTACAAAAAAGTATCAATGTAAGTTCTTTGCCACTACTATCCCCAGTAGCACAAATGGCGGATCGTGGAACAACCAAAGGAACTATGAAAACTGTGGTAAAACTAAGAAGAGCAAGTGATGTAATGTAGCACACTGCGCATCACAGAATGTGTATAAGGAATGCTTCCATCCCTCTATCTCATCATACATTCCCTCCTATATCTGTGCAGCTATGCATTATATTTCTGTCTTATATTTTCCGTGTCTAGCTCTCCTGCACCACTTTGTAAATTCTCCTCTCAGATAAGTGACATATAAATAAGGCTTCTTATTCTTATTATCCACCCATCCAGCCATTGAAAAAGGAAATCCCTTGTCTACCAAGGCATGCTGTCAGATTAGAGGTCGTGCTCAATTCAGTTTCAGGCACATTCCTTTCCATGGTTTACTACTGTCTGTCTGTCTGTCTGTCTGTCTGTCAGTGTGTGTGTGTGTGTGTGTGTATATATATATGTGTATGTGTGTGTCCAAGGGGGTCTGGAGTGCTAACAGGGTCTCAAAGCAAACATGACAACCCTGTCTCGCTTTGTCAACATCGAGCCTGTCGCAACGCTTCGAGAAGCTCGCAGAAATTTATCTCTGTGTTCGGGTGAAAGTCAGAGAGAAGAGGGAAAAGAGGATGGGGAGAGAGGACAAAAGGGGGGGAAAGAGAAGGAGGAGAAAGCAACAAAAATAGATGAAGTAACAACAGATCAATTGAGTATGAGGAAGAGCAGAAAAGGCAAAGAATCAGATAGTTAGTGTCAGAAAAAGAGATCAGAAATAAAGTAACATGAATTGAATGTGTCGGTTTTATTGGTGGAACAGAGGCTAATTGATATATTTCCACCATCCATCTGTGATCTAAAAATGTCACACAAACACATGTACCCATGTATCAATCAACACGCAACTGCTGGGGCACGTCTTTCTTTCTTTCTTTCTTTCTTTCTTTCTTTCTTTCTTTCTTTTTTTCTTTCTTTTCTTTCTACTCCCCCTTCCTCCAAGTGCCCCCTCCTCTCTTTCCCTTCTTCCCTATAATGTTTACAAGTCAGCTGATTGTCCTCCACATATCTCAGAGTCAAAGTGGCCACAGTCTGACTGCACTAACAAATCAAATCACTGCAAAATCAGTTATTTCCTGCTTTTGCCACTATAACGATATATGTGTGTGTGTGTGTGTGTGTGTGTGCGTGTGTGTGATAAGACAAGTCTGGAGAATGATTGCCTCACTAAAGAAAATCCAGCTGATGTTCCCAGTAATCCTGCCATTTACAGTAATGTTTTCAATTACCAACAAAAGCAGGAGATGGATGGACAGATGGATGAAATGGAAAAGAGAATCGAAGACTGATGGATGAAAGTGAATAAATGTGGAAACAAGTTACAAATTAAAATCTGGTGTATCAGTGTTCAATGATATTCCATGATTTCCCCACAAAACTCATTTTCTGGCCTTACAGAATACACCCTCCAAAAAAAAACATACCTTAAAAATGAATGACCTGTCAGACATATGTCAGCACACACTAGACGCACAAAAACACAAACATGAAAGACCAGATTCAACACTACACTACATAACATAACATAACATAACATAACATAACATAACAAACTCACTCCATCCTATTTTTGTCTTCTTTCTCTTCTGCAGTAAGAACCCCTCACCCAAGGATGGAGCAGCCACTCCGGGAACTCCGAAGGTGAGACGAACCTCAGTTTCTTCTCACTTGCTATGATGTGAGCAAAATTGTGACTTTTCTTTCAGGCTGAAATCAAGCATGCCTTACATGCAAAAAGACTGAATGCAAAATTAGATGTGTACACAGTAAACCCAGTGAGGTTTAACAACTTGATGACACTGCTTCAGTGATACAGTATGTAGTGTAGTTCTTTACTGTCCATCTATCTGAGGCCTCTGTTCCTCTCTGCTGCACTGAGGGGAAATCAGCTGTACTGTAGGCCTCTGTCTTATATCTTACACACGCACGCACCCACACACACACACACACACAGAAGTACCAGTCTCCCGTGGTCGAGGAGGCAGCAGAGCCAAGAGGCACTGTACTGTGATTGTTCCAATTAGAGAGGCCGAGATGCAGACAGACGGTAAGGAAGAAAAAAAAAGAGAGAAGGAAAAGTCAGATAACGTCAAATTGTGGGAAGACAGATTCATGATTCCATCAAGTGGGCATACCCTTATAGTGTGTATCCACTGACTCATCTGAACACATCACTAGCTGCTGCCAGACTAAGACTGTTTTTGTAAGACAAGAAGACCTTTCTGTATCCTTAACATGATGTCTAGATAGATATGATAGAAAAGTCCAACTCTCATTTCAGAGAAGTCTGAATAAGATGCAGGGGCTATAGGTGGACTTCATATCTTTATCATTATCGACTTGACAACATACAAGAACAGGACAGAAAGAAGAAATAAAAAAGTGGGAATCAACAAGAAATGACTTTGCATGCCACTAACAAACTGACAGATGTCAAAAACTTCTATCTAGGAAAGTTAAATGAGCTTTAATCTTGTGTTTATCTTCAGATTCTCATCATGGCTTTCTTTTTCTGCATTTTTTCCCTTTCCTACACATTTCCCTGTTAAAGGGTTTCATCCTTTTCTTTTCCTTTCCTGGGGATAGAGGGGGTCATATATCGTACATATTGTACAACCTTCTGATGCAAACTTGTGATTTTGGGCTATAGAAACAAATGACTTTGCTTTACACACAGCTAGCTAATAACACTGCCACTGATACAAAAAAGGTAAGGTTCCTTGAAAGTGTATATTATGATACGGATAGCTTTACAGTAACGTTAACCAGCCCTCTATCTGGATTATCACTAATACCACTGGAACACTTCACCAAGTCAAGAACTTAAGTCCACAAAATGAACAAGTTTTAATGCAGCAACGTTATCCAGCATGCAACTGAATAGTATAACTCTACTCTTCATTATTGGTAAGACTTGTGTCAGTGTTTCCTGACACTTCATCATCTCCATGTTTGTCTTCATTTCTAATTAAAGACTATGTGAAAGTCAGATGCCCTACTGTGGAAAAAGTACATCCGATGCTCACACAAACCTAACATAAGAGCTCTAAAATAATTCAGGGGATCCATTATCATTCCCACACAACTTTAGGTGCTGACCCAGGCTTAGGGCGCCACTCACAGCACTGTGGGTGGGCTTGTACTTGAGGAAGGCAGACAGAGCAGGGGTGAGCCCTGGCCGTGACTGCGCATCTCACCGCAGTTGTTTAGTATTCAGCTGCAGGCCATGGAGAATGTAGAGGGCCAGTCTCAAGCACATGGGCCTGTTGCTGCCGTCTCCTCCCCAGTGTGCACCACCCACCTTTGTCAGACAGGAGATTAACCCCAGCGCACCTCCTTCCTGGGTGTTCAACCCACTTTGTGTACTCCTTGCTAAGATAAGGTGATTGGGGTTAGACTGAAAACATGTGATGTGTGTATGGCTACATATACACACACCTATGTTGGATATGACACCAACTCACATACAAGTGAAAAGATTTAGACACATATTTTTCTTTTGCCTGTCTTTATGTATTAATGGCTGATTTACATATACAAAACAACAAGTTAAAAATTCCGCACCGTGAGGTGTAAATCCAGCTACTCACCTGAGTGTAGCTTTAAATGCAACCTTTTTGTAGCTGATCTTTTTGCATGTTGATTTAATTGGTTGGTTTAAAAGACCAAAATTTCAATGGAAGATCTTCATTTATAATCTCTTCCTAGAATACAGTTAAATGTCATGTTCTAATGATAAAATTTACGCATATTCCCAGAACGCCCCCAGGTAAATGATTCCTGACCTTTTTAAACCTGGGTAAAAGAGAAAAAAAAAGAGACCACACACACACTCACACACACTCACACAGAGGCATAAAAGCATCGTGCATAATGTCCAATTTACTGTGGCAGCACTGGAGGTTGGTCATTTCTCACATATTATTATTAGATTACTGCTGTCGAGCACTTAAGCCTCTGCTCTGCCCTTTTCCGCTTGATTAATAGGAGACGACTGTAAATACAAATATTTCATAGCTGCCTTGTAAAAAAAAAAAAAAAGCAGCAGCACAGGCACACATGGAAATATGAGCTCACACACACACACACACAGCTAGAGCTCTGCAGGACTAAGCCTTGTAAAAAAAAAAGTGATATTACTCCTCTTTTCTTCCCTTGCTCTCTTCCTTTCACATCATTATCTACTTGCCTTTTGCTCACTTGAGGAATTCCCTGGATTGTCTTTGTCACAGAGTGGGTTAGAAGAGGATATCTTTTTATATGTGTGTGTCTATGAGAGAGAAAGAGTGAGCGTGTGTGTGTGTGTGTGTGTGTGTGTGTGTGTGTGTGTGCAAAGTGTTGTGAGACAGATTTATGGACAGGCAGTGTCCCGTAATGTCAGACAGTTACGCTCCTCCTTTTCAGATGTTTACCCTTCCTCCTCCTCCTCTTCTCCCTTCTTCCTCTCTTTTCAGTCACTCGTTCTTCCCTAACTCCTCTTAACGTCCCATAAACATTAACTCTAATCAGTGGAAGGGGCTTTATAGACAAAGTCAGGCAGGTTACAGTTATCATCAATGACGTGGAGCTCTCAGCATCTGTGGCAATAACACTGCTGAAATTCTCCAAGGGTAAAGATTCCCAATTCCTGTTTTTTTTTTCTTCTCTGTGCTGGAAATCTGTTGTAATATAGAAATAATCTTCCAGTTTTAGAAATGAAATTATTTTCCAGTTTGATATGTATTCATTTGATAAACACAACAAGGTGTAAAATGTGTTGCCTTCATTTTGTTGTAGGTTTTTTCAACCCAGTCACCAAAATAAATGTTGGCATTGTGTGTTGCTGCAAACCACAGATATGTTACATTTGTAATTTTCATGTGTAAGGTGTGGCTCATTTGAAGGTATGGTTATGTTTAGGCACCAAAACCACTGGGTTAGGGTCAGGAAAACATTATGTTTTGGCTTTTAATGCCCAAATTTGTCACTACAACCATAGTTGAAAATTCCCCAACCCACTTTTGGTGGTCTTGAACAGTTGTCTGCTGCTGTCTGCTGCTTGGCAGCCATCTCACCTCAGTGTCACTTGGCAAATATACATGTAATTTGAACTATGTCATAATATCACGTATGAATGAAACATACAAATGTAACATATCTGTGGTTTGCAAAAATGTACAATGATAACATTCTACTCTTGCACCTTTGCTGTTTCTTTGTCTATATAGTCGAATAAAATTTTGCTTTAAATTTGGCACTTAGTTATGGTACAATTGTTTTTATCTTACTCTTCAACTGCTTTAATCTCTCACTCCACAAATACTAATCTAATTGCTGGCAGTCATTACTTTTCAGCTGATATTTCAACTGTTCTCATCTCTTTTTTTTAAGTTCCTACAACTGATTTCCATGCTCACGCTTCAGCTGACACTTCCACTGACATCATTCAGTTTGTACACTTGAAGTGGCACTCATTTCTTCCAGGAAATTCACACAGCACCAGCACTTCCACTGAGATTTCAACTCCTTTCAGTGCTTGAACTTCAGCTGAATTTAGCCCTTTTCAGCACTTGAAATCAAACTGACATTTCAACTTCATTCAGTGTCTACACTTACATGTAAACTGAAACCTCAACTTCTTTCAACACTGTCATTTAAACAGCTATTTCAGTGCCTTTCATTACTTGTATTTTTTTTTTTTTTTTGATAGTCACTTTAACTACAGTTTCAAACGTCTGCAGCCAGCACATGTATGTTTTCATCAGAACAATGTAGCTTTTTCTAGTTGTCACAATAAGTTTGTACGGCCCTTATGGACATTTTAAATTATTAAAATGATCCTTTTGTCAAGCCAAGCTGAGGTGTAGGTGGCAGCATGCAGGGGTGTTATCTCCACAACAATGAAATGTTATCTGTTTTCCTTAGATCTAAATTTATTTTTGAAACAGCATTACTCTGGCCTTGTCCATGTTTATTGATTATTCCCACGCAGCAACTGTCAGGCGAGGACAGGTTCTGCTATAATCATCGCTCCACAGGTGATAATATAACAAGATCATCTGCATATAGAAGACATTTTATTATTCTCTCTCTCTCTCTCTCTCTCTCTCTCTCTCTCTCTCTCTCTCTCTCCCTCCAGTCAATGCTGTTGTCAGTGCACATCAAGCGCGAGGGAGAGTCTCCCGTGGTCTCACCCCTGTCCTCTGAAGACGCCCACCATTCCGACAGATACCAGGTCACACTCACGGACACACACAGACACACAGAGACACACACACACACACACACACACACACACGCTGAGTAACATTCAGTCTAGATTGTCACCATTCTGTCCTGTTTGTCCCTGTATCCAGCTGTAGTGTAGTCTTGAGTGCTAATTGAATTATACATGTGAATGTCTTTGAAATTCCCTCATTCTGACAGGTGTATGACAGCATAGAAGAGGATTATGGTAGATTTTGGTTTTTATGCCCTCTCAGCAGTTACGCTGACCAACGGGCCAATCTCCTTAAATCTCACATGTCTTTAAAGCCACCCTGACTGCTTTTATCTCTTAAATTCATCAAAGTTTGTTCGGGTAATTCTTCTGGTCATGATGTATCACCAGGTTAAGTGGGTTTCCCCCCTTACACCATAAAATAAGAACTATTAAGTCCACACAGACGTTACATCCATACGTCCAGGATGACACAGCTCATAAAGACCTTATAGCGATAAAGTAGATTTTCTCATTAAGTGAAACTGCTGAAATCACCTTATATTATACAAATGATTAAGTCAATGGTGACTCTTTTTACCACCCTGAAAATGAAGCGTAATGGCAGACTTTGCCACCCTCTCTCTGCCTGTCAGTGCATCTCCGTGCTCTCTTTCTCTCTACCTCTTCCCTTCCTCTAAAAAGCTGACCTATCCGCAGCCATTCAGTGAGTGTATCATAATGATACGGTAGTAGTGGCCACGCGAGGCAAGTGGGCCTATAACTCAAGTGGCAGCAGAGAGGGGAGGGGAGGGATGAGGGGGAAGAAGTGAGGAGACGGATGGAGGGCTAGAACAGAAGGAGAAGGCCTGACTCCTTGTCGGCTCTCACTGATGGACGATGGGGCCGATGGTGAGAGGAACCGCTGCCTACTCACTGTTGCCGTGTCAAAGAGAGGGCATCCATAACTGCGACTGGGGATGCTTTAGTCAGCATATAGCTAAGGACTTACAGGTTTGAATCCCAGTAGACCTGAGGTGCTCATTCTGCAGGAGACAGAAGTGGAGATCTGACCTCACTTAATTTATTTCTCGATGCTATGTTTTTAATGAAAAGACCATTATTCTTAATGATGCAGGGAATTTACCCAAGGCATCCTGAAATACCCATTGACCCAAAATGTTCCACATTCATGGAGATAAATGTGAAATTTAATTGTACGCCACAGTTGCCAGTGGAGGAAAGTACCTGACTAAAATTACTTAGGTACAGTGCTGAGGTACTTTAACACACTCTTTACCTCTACCCTACTACATCTCAGTGGAAAATACTTATGTTGTTTTACTGCGAAGTACTTAGCAGACTTTACATTTTTTTAAAAAAACATACTGTTAAAAACATCATGCATTATTAAAGAGTAAGCCAGAGTTATGTAACTAAAATGAAGTGCAAAATAAATGCCATTATAATATGTTACAGTTAATGAGAAACACATGATACAATTACAGTTACTAATCAAAATGTTGGTCATTACAAAGGGGAATATATTATTTTTCTTAAAAAGTTTATATTTTGAATATGGCATTCAGTGTTCATTATATTAAAGAACTTTTATTAAAAGTTTGACAGTAATCAGTGTTGAAAAGTGTTGTTTAAAGCATCTGTCAGAAAAGCAATCAAAAAGTAATTACATTTTAATGTTCCATTACTCTAGAAGTAATTAAAATAGACTGCTTGTTACATTTTAGTGGGGTAACTGGTAACCTTTAAACAATTACATTTCAAAAGTAACCTTCCCAACATGGTATATCATATCAACAGGCTAATTAATGTAATGTATAATAATTATATTTCAGTTACACAGGCCATTTGTTTTGATAGTACTTTTTGGTACATGTGCTTTTACCTAAGTTGGATTTTGAATGCAGAACTTTTACTTGCAGTGGAGTCATTTTGCCTTATTCTAATGGCACTTTTACTTTTTCCACCACTGACAATCATATAATATTAACTTAGGTTTGATTTTTACTAGCTACAAAAATGTAAAAAAAAAAAAAAAATTCTGCACACACACCAAAAAACTACACTTCAAGAGCGAAATGTAGAGAATGTTCACAAACACCACATTGACACGTTTATCTTCACCTTTGACATGACTTTATTCAGTGAAATATTGTGATTAATGTTTTTTTGTCTGCCAGCCCATAGAAAGAGCAGTAGATGGAGAAGCAGCTGTGTCTCTAGTCTGTATGTAAAACCCCACAGCCATTAATTAAAAGGACGCCGTGTAATGAAACTCGTTGCTTCCCCCTAGCGGTCGAAATCCGGAACAACATGTGACGTTTCCCCACTTCCGTCTCCAGCGGGTCACATGATCAAAACAAGCCAACATGGCGTCGGACATGAGCAGTATTTGCCGATACGGGCGCCACTTTCAATCCTTTTCCATCCGTATTAAAAAATAGAGACAACGTTTAGTTTGCGGTGATGTTGAGTATCTGCAGCCACAGTGTGGTAGTTTGCTGCAGTGAGTTTTGGCGGCTGTACAGTGAGCTCTGAATGAACCCTGACAGTCATGGAGGATGTGGAAAACAATAGACAAGTAGGTTTGTTTACAGTGCCTCCGTCTCAGCATCCAAAGCAATCCCACTCTGAAAAGTTCTATATGTACTTGTAAACATATTATATTGTTTGTTTATTATCTAATGTATGTTTCCTCCCTCTTTTTTCCTCTCTGCTTGCAGACATTTTTACGAGTTCGAGCAAACAGGCAAACAAGATTGAATGGTATGTATACATAACGTTTCATCTCCTGAGTGATAGTGAATATTGATTATTAACATACATAATATGGCTCAAAGGAATGTATTTAATTTAAATAAAGTTGTTAAGAGTTTACCACTGTGCTCGGGCTCGTTTCAGGTCATGGAAGTACTGGAAAGATATTAAATAGACTCACTTGAATGTCAGAAAAATACAGCTATAAATATGGTATGATAAATGAGAAAGTACGTTTTAGACAGATTGTATTATAAAGAGCTTACATCTTATATATAAACAGTACATTTCCAGAAGTTAAGTATAAAATTAATACAGAAATGAAATGAAATTCAAAGAAATAGTCATCACCACAAATGACATCATAAGATCACTGGTGTCAAGGCACAAGAGACAAATTAAATGTGTTATACAATGTTACTATATGATGGTATCATGTTTGGTCATTTCCGAAAGGTGTGTATTTTGATTTAGCACTTATTTCACTACTGTATATTTGCTGGGGTGTCAGGTGATGTTTATCTGTCATTACATACTGATGACATCATGTAACAGACACCTGTGGCTCCTACAGAGGCTTTTTGTGTTGTGTGTTAGCTCTTAGTAGCTCCTCTTTTTCTTTTTTAGGTATTATCATTACATTACTCATTACATTAGAGCTAAGCATCTGGTTTTTCCAAATATCAACTATCCCGCACTCTTTTGAAAACCCTGAAGGCTGTTAAATATGTAACACTGCTTTGAAAGTGTTTGCAAAATCTTCAAAAACTCTTCTAACCATCTGGTTAAAAGATATTTCATCTGTTGCACAGACTAAAGTTAATTTTAACCCATTTTCCCAAATTGCATCTGTATTTCCAGATATTTAGAAGTTACAATTCTCCAGGAAGGTTTTGTTAAACACAAGCAAAACTTAGTTTTTTTGCATGAAAGTATAACATAGTCAAAGGAAACATCAGTATATCACAATGTACTTTTTAATGTTGGGTCACACTGTGCACAGACATTTGTTACAACATGATTAATCTCTCAAGGCAGATTCTGCAATTTACGTTGTAAAGGAAGAACAAAAAAAAGTTTTTTTACCGATGGATTTCCAGATTGCAACATGATTGAGCTAACTGGAGTAATTTCATGTCGTATCCGACAACAGGAAGCTTTTAACAGATGACGTCCTGATGTTAGCTTTGCTGCTGCTGTTAGCTGTCCCTATCAGCTGCAGCCACTGATGCTTTCTAGACATCGTGATTTCCCAAAACTGAATAAATACCACACATAGCAACACAAAACTGCTTTAATAGCTCAATCATGTTGTAACTAAGATATCCGCTGGAAAAAATATTTTTTTCACGGACCGTTTATCGAGTTATTGAGTTACTAAAGACACCGCTAACCAGGCTAACAGCTAACGGTTAGCCCAGCTAATCTGCGATAACCATGTTATTAATTACAAAACGTGCACACAGAAATAGTAACGTTTGTTCAATCATTGTGTTTATAGACTTTACAAACATCAGATTAGTCTAAACTTTTTTTTTTTTTTTTTTGGTTACGGATGGATTTCCAGATTGAATAAGTATTGTTAAACTACCTTCAGGGGTTCTTTTTTTAGGCATTTATTATTTGGAAAATCTGATTCTTTAGCTCTGTGGCTCAAATGTAATGTTGTATTATCAGGCACAATTGGGGCTAAGCTCTGAGAGAAGGCCTATGAGACTGTAGCTAGCTTTTCTGATCAACAAATAATGGGATTAACTTGACCAGTGCTTCAAGTTGCAACACAGTCCATACACCATTTTTTTCCTGAGGCTTTTAATGTAATAAGTGGTCACTTAACTACTTAAAAACTTTGATAGGGATAATGGAAGACTTCATCATTTGTGTCACACAAGTGGCAATGTTGCCAATAGGTCACTCTTACAAAAAACATTTTGACATTGCACAGTAGGAATAGTCCACGTGTTGAAAAAGAAATGAGTGAAAGCTGAATTTCATTCATATTTGTACCTATAATGGGTCCAAGGACAAGAAATGCACTGTTTTCAAGAGCATGAATTCACAGTACTGAATTTCTAACATTATCTTCAGGTGGAACAGAGATCAGAAGCTCTGACACAGTTAAATACACCATGATATGTAACACAAATGTTTGTTTACAGTGTTAGTAGTTTTGCTGCCCAATAAACCATCATTTTTTTATCAAGAGATAGTGAAGCTCTATAAACCAAGAAGATTCTCACCACATTGGTTGTTGTCTCTGTTGCAAGATATTTAGAGTTTCCCACGTTGAGGCGACAACTCAACCTTTTTCAGTCAGAGCGCATGACAGGAGCCAATGAAGACTTAGTTTAAACTTCACCCTCCATTACTTTCTTTCTGCCCTCATGTGGAACCAGGAATCATTCTCATGTGGGGTATAATGGTTGAGGGGGGGCAGAGATCCCTGCCGGACCTAATTAGCAGGCCTTTCCCTTCTCTATTTAACAACGCTCCCCTCGATTAGCGTCAGGGGAGAATTGGCATGGAGGAAGAGGGGGAGGCAGCCGTTTCTCTCTCAGACCCTCCCAGCCTCACTCCCTCTATCTTCTTCCCCTGCCGTTATGGCGTATTGCCTTGTCTCCTCCTTCTCTCCCTCCATCCCTTGCCACAGTCCCTCTTGGCCTCCTCTGCTTTCCCAGCCAGCTAAAAATTAATGTCCCCGCGCGCCATTTGCAGTTAAGAAAAAACGACAGAGACTCGGGGCGCAATGACGGCTGTTCTGCTCTGTTAAATTTCTAATTAAATGTGTGTGTGTGTGTGTGTGGTGGGGGGAAGCTGTGGCAGGAGGGCAGCAGAGTAAAGGGAGGAGAAACAGAGGGAGAGGGATGGCGTGGATGTAGAGAGTAGGACGGAGATTGACACTGTCACATCCGGCTCTCGTCACTTCTTTCTTAGCACATTTCAAAAGCGGCCAGCTCGGCCTTTTCTCATGCTTCTAGGCTTGTAAAGAATTGAGAATAGAGTGCAGGCCTTCTGGGAATCTACATTACATTGCATATGATCCAATCAAGGAAGATTCATCTGACAGAAAAAATCCCTGAGGTCTTTTTTTAGCTTCTCTCCTGTGCCTTGAAACCAGTGATAATATCATCTGAGGAAACATGCTTGAAAACTTCAGACATTTAAAAACTATATGACATTAAAACTCTGTCTGTCTCTCTTTCTCTCTTGACTCTCCCTTTGCAGCCCGTATAGGGAAGATGAAGAGGAGGAAGCCTGAGGAGGGGGGCCAGGTATGTCCGCTGTGCAGCGCCCCATTGGCTGGGAGCGAGGAGGAGATGAGTAGACATGTGGAACAATGCCTGATCCAGGTAGTACAATCCTGGTCCTGAACCAGTCGGACAGCCTGTCAACCCTTCTCTTCCTGTAGATGCTGATCAGTCACCTCTTAACTTCCTGTAGATGCTGTCCAATCACTTCTGTGTATTAGTGCGGTACCAACCAATAGCAACTGTAGTTCTACTAGATACAGACCACTTCTTTACATAGCAGTACTGCATTCACATCACATGGGAGAAACTGTCTGAAAGACCATTAAGAAGACATACCGACAGTCAAGTATTCACATGTCCATCATTAAGTGTTGCAAAGCTGACACAAAAATTTGATTTCTGCGGTTTATCCCATATGACATGACTGTATCTTATTCATTGGCATGCAGCTCCTGTATGAGCACAACAGTTACACCTTTAGTCTCATAGATGAGGGCCAATTTGGCTTTGTCTGCTGTAGCCCAAATAGGAAAATATTTCCAGTCACCTCCTCTCTCTGGTTTGTAGTTGTCAAACCAGGGTTGGTCGCCGGTTCTTCTTCTTTCCTGTAGATGCTCAACACTTCCATTCTTTCCTAGAGTCGACCAAAGAAAATAAATCACCACCACTAATCACCACTCCTCCTGTATCTCACCTCACTGACCACCGTCTGTTACACTAGCTATAGAGACACTAATAAATCTTTTCCAATAGCACGCTTTAGGGCTTCCAGTGCTGTACCATGCCACGTGAGCTGTGCTTTCTTTACGTAATCATTAAAACAGATACTGTACTGAGATGTTTCAGTGCTGCTTGCAACCAGGGCCAAAGCACCGATGTTTGTCTTGTGGTGTTGATCAAATGGACAGACTAGTCTCTGTTTTCAGATCTCCTCTTTGCTGTTGATCTGAAGTAGAGTAAGACGTGGCGGCAAACTCGTCACTTCCTGCTGCAGCTTCACAGTAAAAGATGAAAATGAAACAATCACAAGGTCTTTGACCAATCGACTTTCAATGCAAGCACTTGCAGCAGCTTGATGAAGTTGCCATTTAGTTTTGGGAGAAAAAAAGACAACAGAAGAAGGTTCGGTGAAGTAGTTTGACGAAGACTTTTGGGTGTGTATTGCAATTTGTGCAAACCTCAAACACAATTCAGATAGGCAGTGTCTCTCTCCCTTCCTGTTTGCGTCCTATCGACATTTACCAACTATACGGGGCCTTACCACAGCTCGTCATGGTACAGCACAGGTAAAGCGTGCTATGGAGATCTGGCCTATCTTCCACCACACCATTACTTAAAATAGTAAAATCATTTACTGAAATTTGTTACGATTTTTAAGACACAGACACCTCTGTTAAACAGTTACTCTGTATGTGTGTGCCCTGATTAACAAAATCCCTGTATATGTGTGTGTGTCAGCGTGAGGGTGCGTTAGGCGATGATGACTCCGCAGACATGGATGGAGAGAATGGACGGGGCTTTGAGGAGTACGAGTGGGCGGGGCAGAAGAGGATCAGAGCTACAGCTTTGCTGGAGGGAGGCTTCAGAGGTATACACACACAAACACACACACCTCATCTGAAACAACACCATGCTGGTTTTATTTCACACTGGTTTCTCTTCAGAGGCAGGTTGTGTTCAGTGCTGGTGTGTGCTGTGTGATGACGTAGGTGTCTGGTTGTCTGCTTGTTAGATGACTGACTGACTTGTCACAGCTCTGTGGTCGTCACAGCAGAGTTAGCTCTATGTAGACAGGGTCGGCCCAGATCCCTCTTGGTCCCCTTTCACCTTTTGTCTGTCTGTCTGTCTCCTTGTTTCTCTGCTCATCCATCATTCCCTCTGTTCCTGTCCAATGTGAGCAGTGTTAGTTCTGTGGGACTGGTGTTGAATGTGACCAGGGAGCTGTAATGGTGCCAGCGGTCTGGTGGCAGTGTGGGTTAGCTTGGGGTCAGCCCAGCCCAGCTCAGCTTGGCTCGACCCTACACAACTCTCTTAGTGAGGGGAAGGAAAACACATTTAGCTGAGCAATTGACCCGGTGGTCACCAGTGTGTGTGTGTGTGTGTGTGTGTGTGTGTGTGTGTGTGTGTGAGAGAGAGAGAGAGAGAGTGAGAGTCAGAGAGTGTGAGTGTGTATGTGCCCAGAAATGCAATTATAGACCTGGATGGGAGAGCTGGTCACTGGGGAGCATGGCTGCTCCATGACACAACACACCTACAGTGGTAGCTCTCTGTCACGGTCTCTCTTTGGTACCCCATCTTAGATTTTTCAAATTGCTATTGTTATTATTTTTAACCAAGTTCTTTTCTGAAGCTTAGTTTATTTACATTTTTATAAGAAGGGGTGTCTGGACAAACAAGTGACAATTTAATGTAATGCTTTTTAGTCATCACACCCTCCAAATATTAAATTTAGTTTAGCTGGCTGTTATACAATAATTGTCTGTATCTGCTACTTAATACATTTAAGTCAGATGTTTCCTTTCTTTATGTGAGATCTGAGCTAACTCAATGGACGTGAAATTACGTTCTGAAGTTGACAATATTTCCATAACTTTGATTTTATCAAGCAAGATGTTGACATGATCAGGAACATCAATGCTATGAGTCAGCTTCTAGACCACTCACAGGAGAATGAGCTGAGTTGTTAAAATTGTATAGGGTTGGGCTAATATGATATAAAGCCAAACACCAGACTGGACTGGTATACCAAATTTTACCAGGTGTTGCCGCTCCCGAGTGGAACATAATGACACTGTGCTCCAACAGCAAATGAGTGTTACACTGTTGCGTTGAATCACATCAAAGCTCTCTGTCTACACTGCATCCATCAAAGATGCACCTCTGTTAGGTCTACTTTATGTAGACAAAAGTATCAACTGTTCGCTTGAGATCAGCCTGGAGATGTAACCACTTAAGATGAGTGACTGGCCTCTTTGCAGTCCTCCTACTTTGTAACATTACTTTATTAAACACTAAACACATTTTATATTATGATGTTTAATAGAAATAACAATTTAGCCAAAAGCAAGTAGCATAACTTGTTATTAGCAAGGGTCATTTAGCTCACCAGAAACTTTCTGCTCCCTGGCGAACTTTCTCCAGTCTGTCTCCACCATACCTATGTTTTTGTAGTGAAATGAGGTATCGTGTAGATAATTCCTCATCTTAACTTTGTGAATCAGCCGTTTATCGTCCATTGAGGTCCTTTCAAAGTGAGCAACAGATATAAATAAAAACAGGCCACCCAACAAAAGTTCAGCTCACAAAAGCAGCGCTGCATCACTCACTCACTCACTCACTCACTCACTCAGTGTCCCAAAAAGTGAAAAAAGCAGGTTACATGTTCCTAGAGCCCAAACTAACATCTTTACATTGCTTGTATATCTGACCAGCAGTCCAGCAGTTAATCTGCAGATTGTTTTCTAGATTCATAAAATGAAATGACAAAAGTCCAAATCCGTAGATATTTTAATTTACTGCAGTATATGACAAATAAAAGTAGCAAACCAGCTCATATGAGAAGCTGAAACCAGGGAATATTTGAATCAATTATCAGAAGAGTTGAATACTTGAAGTTGGTTGGTAATATAGCTTTAATTCCTACACAACACTTCCTTAGTGTAAACATTGCCAACACTGTTCTCTCAGTCTTTTTATGTCTTTGCTACAACAATCTTTCCTCTAAGCCCCAGAAGTGCCTCCAAACACAACATACACTCTAGTTCTGTTTACCAAATAGTATGAATACATGCAATCTGATGATTTAACTGCATTGTGCGTCACAGTGGCCTCCCGCTGTGGCCTCAGTTTGTTTCTGTGTAAAACGTGGTGAAAGACAGACAGAGGCAAAGCATCAAGATGTGCACAGATGGAAGTAAAGAGTTGTTGTCATCTCTAAGAGGCTCTTTCAAACTCTCTTGGCTCTGCCTCAGCTTTCATCTGTCCCTCTTCCTGCTCACCTCCGTCTCTCCCTGTTCGATCCGTTGTTAAACACACACACGCTGAGCCTCACCTGCCTCTCTCTCTGCAAGCCAGAGAGAGAGGAGACAAGACAGATCAATGTTGAAATCTCAACTAAACTGCGCCAAAGAGCAGCTCGTGGGGGTGGGTGGTGGCTTCCCCACCCGTCCATCCATCTCCGCAATGCTCCTTCCAATCCGCCCATCTCTCTTTCACGTCATTAAACGAGCAGACACAGGACCCTTCTGCCACGCTCTAATAGGGCACCTTGTGATGTGACACAGATAACTGAGGTGGCCTGGGGAGAGTGACTTGAAACGCACACATACACACACACACATACTTGGCAGAAGGCTCAGAAGGTGGATTTTGTCTTGAAAGCTCCTCAGTGGTTCTAACACTCACCGCTGAATCCAGCAGGCTCTTGAGAGCCAGCGGCCGGCTAGACGGATATAGAGATGTTGCAGGGGGTCTCCTCAGCTGGCGGGATGAAGAGAGGGCCTATCCCTCTGTGAAGTGCCACCATCCTTCCCTCCCTTTGAGAGCCAGAGGAAGAAAGGCAGAGGGAACGGGGCCCTTTCAAGGGAGACGAGAGAGGGGGAGGTGGGAAGGGAGGAAAAAATCGAACAAGATCAGTTTATGATTCAACTCTGTGTGAGGGAAGACTTCCCTGTGCCTCGCACCGGCTTAGCCAGGTTGAAAGGAGCCACGGCACAGACAGAGAGCTTTCTTTATCTGTCTAGTGGACTGTTTGTCTGTCTGTCTAAGTCTCGGTTTTATGAGCTGGAAAGCAACTAGCATTTACTTTTAACTTGGCAGGATATATTCAAAAGTCTGTCTTTAAAGGAAAATGTGTTTATTACAACTAAGTTTTTATAATAATTTCATGTCAAAATATTTCATTTGACGTTTTTTTGTGCTGGCGCCAATGCAAGACCTGCAAATCCTCACACTGGAGATTGGAACCAGCAAAAGTTGCCATTTTTGTTTAGTTTATGACATCAGTGATTAATCGATAAGCAAAATCTTGTAGACTCAGTAATCTATACTGGATTTGTCATGAGGTTGTTTAAACAGAAAAGTTTCTGTGTTATTTCTTTGATGAATTCGTAGGCCTACATCTGCCTTTACTGTCTTGTTCTTTCACTACAGCATTTTCAATTAAAATATTCTATTTATTTTTGTTTTATTTATGTATTTATTTATTTAGTTTCAGATTTTAGAAATTCCATTAAAAATAAGATCCAATTGTTACCAGCAAACCCCACAAAATTCTTGTACAACAGTTTCCCAAGTACCTCTGTGACAATTTTCAGGTTGTTGTTTTTTTAATAATTAAATGCTGAAGTCATAGTCATATGCATACATTTAGTCAGTAAAAATATGCATGTTCAAAGTAATTTATTTAATTTCTTTATTCAGTGAATATTAGCTATCCAATGTTTATTATCTGTATTAGCGTCATACTTATTAAAGGTCCAGTTTGTAGGATTTAGGGGCATCTATTGGCAGAAATGGTGTATGATATTCTTAGCTATGTTTAATTAGTTTATAATCACCTGAAAAGAAGAATTGTTGTGTTTTTGTTACCCTAGAATGAACTGTATATATATCTATCTACAGAGCGGGTCCTTTCCCACAGAGGCTGCCATGTTGTTCTATGGTAGCATAGAACGGACAGATAGAGACATTTGCATTTCGTCAGCCATTGTAGTTCTTCTGAGCACCTGGCACACGGGGGAAGTTTCAGCTCTGCAACCTCACCGCTATATGCCACTAAATCCTACACACTGGACCTTTAAAGCAGAGGGAGATTGGAACTGTGTAGCTAATATGCACACTTCAGTATTTGTTTATTTATGGAGTCATATCATCATCTCAACACTGAACAATGTTATAGCACATTGCAGATTTTCCTCATATTATGCAGGGCCTACAATCAGATTTCAATGTACCACATTACATAGCACGTTTAATGTTCCTATTTGTTTCTCAAGTGTTTACTCCTGCTTTTTAAGTGGCCGATCTTAAAAGAAAATAGTTGATCTGTCAGTTTAGCCACAGACAGATGGAAAGGCAGACAGGGAGGCAGGCAGACAGATCCTGAGGTTTGATATCAGGCTGTCCTGAGAGACAGAGGAGGAGAAGAGGGGGATTATTGCAGGTTGAGATGGCCCAGAGGGATTGAGCAGAGGAGAAATCTGTGCTTTGTAAATGGACTTCAAAGATGGCCGTCTCATGTCTTTGTGTCTGTGTCCCTTTCCCCATCTCTCTCCCTCTCTCTCTCTCTGACCTGTAAATGGCAGAAAGATAGTGCGATGACCTTTGACTCCCCTCCTCTCTGCTTCTTAGAGGGTCCCGATAATTGCTATGGTAACGGGATGTCGCCGAGGTCGGTCGATTGGTCGGTCCGGGCTGTCTGTCAGCCTGATGGGTCCTTTGATCCTGCCCACCTCCTCAGATCTGAACTTGTAGTGTTGTTGTGGTGACACGTATGTAGATTGAGTGTCTCCGCTGTTGCTGTCATGAGGCATGTAGCTCCGAGGATAAAATGTGTAGTTAGTATGTTAAGAGTCAACGATATTCAGGAGATGGTTATGATAATGAGACAGACCAGGATGGCCCTGTACGAGTCGGTATGTGTGTGTATTGATCATGCCTGTCTGACAGAAAGGAGGGGAAACTGGGGACTGGACCAGGGGAGAGAGAGAACAAGTGATACATGAGTAGAGAGAAAAATAGAGTGATAAAGGGTGGTGCAAGAGATGTGAAGAAGCAAACTGTCAAAACAAGCAAGGGAAGGGAAAAAGTGGAAAGAGGATAGTTCAGAGAAATGTGAAAGAATAAAGGTAAGAAGGAAGAAGTGATAACACAAAGAAGGTGAGGAAAGGAGGACTGGATAGGAAGAGAGGTGAAGAAAAAGAAAGGGGAGGGGGCGTCGGTGCATAATGTGAGTGAAAGGCAGTTAGAGTGGGGCTGACCTTTCCCTGGCCAGATTAGATTGGCCTGCCAAGACTGCTTAGAGGGACAGATAGAAGCACTAGAACACACACACACACACACACACACACACACACACACAACCGGCCACACATATGCTCACAGTTAAAACACCAAAGACATGTAGAGTGTGTACATGTACAAATAGACCTCAAATAAGGACAAAAATACAGCATCCATAAGGGAATCATTTAAAATGTCTGAGAGCTTGTGCTATTTTTAAGTTTGTATTGTACCGCACTTTGTATTATTATAAATAATACTGGATTTCTGCTGATGTGTGATTAATTTTTAAGGCTTTATCTGCTGATACAGTTGTCGTACTGATATTATAATTACATAAATTGTACATTATTGTGATCTTGTTGTGAATCACTCGGGCCAGAGCTCACCACAGGTCCACTTACTGTAGTTCTAAAGTCGGTTTTAGGGTCACTAAAGTGATTATTGAGCGTTTCTGTGGGCTTAGAGATTGAGACTGCAATGTCCCTGGTCCAGATCTGTCCAAGGAACTCCGTTGCATCTCTCTGCCACACATCCTGTCATCTCTCCACTGTTGCTTTTGTTTTCTAAATTATTCCATGGGCAGGTTTTGGTAGGTTTTCCACACTCGTGAAACTCTCTAAATGGGCATTACCAAGTCGTCAGAGCCCACATATTCATGTTCCACCTCATGAACACAGTTGTTGTGGCCAACCAGCCACAAGATCCATAGTTTGATTAGTTGATTGGATTATGCTCCAGCCACTACTGCCATCACCACTACAACACACACACAAAAGCACTCATTCGTGCATTAGTGGTTTGGAGTTAAAACTATTTGTTTTACTCTCATCCAGTTGGTCACTCCTTTACAGCTGATGGATGAGAAGCTTTCTTCCCTGGCTTGGCTGACACTGAGGGATTGGGGGTAGAGTGGCTTAAGCTTGGGTCATAGTAATGAAAGGCAGAAAGTCATGTGTGAACTTGAATATGAACTGTATCTCACCTGTCACCACCGTGTTGTAGGTTCACAAACTGGTCTGGAATGCTGTGTGTGTAGGCTAGGTAGTTACCATCTTTGATGGTAAGTAAGGGAGGGACAAATTCCATACCTGAAAGACTGAGCTTTCCCCCAAATTAACCAACTCTACATAGCAAGGAAGTCTGCCAGTGGTGAGAGGAAAAAATGCATGAAGTCCAACGGTTTCACCATGTCAGGCTGTATAATAATGTAACGTGTTCTGTTCGCCTTCTGCCATGCCCTGAAAAACTATAGCCTCAGTAGCCGAGCAGAGCCAGCAGGCTGCTAGATTTACGCTGCGTGGCCATTGTTCCCATATGTTCCCCTCTGCCGCTGAGACCAAATAAAAGTTAAAAGGTCCTTTTTATTTGATCACTAAAAACCATGGGCCTGTCGTAAAACGGCTTAGCATCGGTGGCGCGTTTTATCACAGCGGCTTTCAGCCATTCCGTGCTCACATTCTCTCTCCTCCCTCCTCATTTTTTTTTATTCTTTTCTAGAGTAAGAGTGAAATGAATTACACCGTTAAGCAGGAGAAGCAGCAGCAGATGTTTAAATCCCAGAAGGTCCTCGGAGACGAGCCCTAGCGGCTGATTTGCACTTTGACAAAGACGCCATAGTGCAGTGAGACACTGTAGTGCACTGAGACCAACTGTTATAGGAAGTCAAGTATGGAGACTCACACACACATACTGGGACAGGGGGTTAAATAAGATGGCTGTCAACTCTGTCGAGTTTCTATCTGGTCCCACATACACATATACACACACACACACACACACACACACACTTGTCACATACACACAGAACACACTAGTCCAGCTGAGAGCTTGTAGAAATTGGGATAGGTGTAAATAAGATGGCTGTCAGGCCTGTCAGTGGTAGACACACACAGACACATCCAGAGTCACATCTCAAGTGAAACACACACACTCTCACACACACAAGTGCTCAAATAGTAAGTAACATACACACGTGAACACTCCTGCACACGCACACACCTTACCTACCTTTGCGTAGTAGATAGATGCGGTGTAAGTGACAGGTAGACAGACTCACACACTTGCGCGTGCACCCACACCTTCAAGGGGTTGGAGAGACAGGGCCTAAGTGACAGAGGGACAGACAGTCTCAAACAAACACTGAGGAGACGCCTCTAAGTGACGGACACACACACACAGCCGGCTCTGTGGCTAAGTGGAGCTGAAGGGAGCAGTCAGGCAGTGGTAAGGGTTTGTCTGAGCGTTCATCACTGGGTTTATAGAAGTGCCACTCTCACACACACACACACACACACACACACACACACACACACACACACACACTCCCACAGTCTCCCACTCTCCCTCTCTTTCTCCCAAAGATTGATGGGTGAAGTGTCAGTCTTCATCAGTTCACCCCGTGTCTGTCTCTCTTTTCACCCTCATCTCTCTGACCAGATATCTTTCTCGTCTCCCTCCATCTGCAGATCCTTAAAAAAGTAAAGTTTTTTAATAACCTCAAGTTTAAGATCTCTTAGGCTTGTCTCAAAAGCAGGCAGCAGAGGTCCCTGTTGTTATATTCTGTATATATTTTGCTGGATCTGTGACATTAGATACTGATATGTGTTTACTCTGACATTTAATCAAGTGTGAACTGGAATGTAAAGCATAAGAAATTATTTTGCCTAAATGTGTGACTTGCAGCCGTGATTTTATTTTTCATGTTGTATTAGATCACTTGTGGTGTCAGTTTTAACACCTATTAAGTAAACCTCACTATGTCGTGTCCTGGAAAATTATGAGTGATGAAGCCAGTGATGGGCAAATTTTCCTCTCCACACATGAAACTCAAGGTTCTCTCATTTTCACTGTCTTACTGAAAGTCACGCTGAAATTCGTGTTCATATTCTCTTCACAGGAACAGGTTTTGCCACGTGTAGCATCAAGGAGAGCGCGGCAGACAGCGATGCCGACCTAGACGTGGACGGAGACGACACCTTGGAATACGGCAAGGCCCAGTACACCGAGGCCGATATCATCCCCTGCTCTGGAGCCGGAGAGGACCAAGGAGAAGCCAGGGAGAGGGAGGCGCTACGGGGAGCCGTGCTCAAGTATGAGGCCATAACTACTGCACAGTCAAGCTAGCAGAATATGAATCTAAGGGGATAGTTCAGATTTTTTTAAGTGGGGTTGAATGAGTTAGTTATCCATAATGAGTGTGTAACATAAAGTCAGTGGGCATGTCCCCAGTTTGGAGAAGCCAAGCAATTAATTGCTGTAGATGGGGGCAGAAACAAAACACATTTTAGCCACCTAAAAAGGTCCCAGCTAAAAAAAAAATAATATCAGTTGAAGTGTACACCATATTAAGAATATTTTCACTGCTTCACCACACCGTCAGACAGCGATTTGCGACAGAGGACTAAAGCTGATACATTGCTCTCATCAAAGCCAGACTGCATTAAGAAAAACAGTCATTTAACACCCCTGAGCACAGGAGCTGCTCGTCTGCTTCTCTCTCCACATTTGTATTATTGTGTAACTTTGGCATTAAAAGGGTAAGTTTGGATTCACTGAATTCACTCAGAAACAGTAACTAACTGATTGAGGCAGCAGTAGACCAGCAGTTCCCGTGTTAAGGGAGCCAAATTTACGGTTTCTGTGAATGGAGTCTGGTGGCTTTGACGAGGGCATTGATGGGGAACTGAAGCCATTAACTGCTTCCCCATCAAATGAGGGTTTTCTGTGGCAAGGTAAAGCGGCGAAAACATTCTTTTGCTTCTGTGGCTTACAACTCTGTCTGATTCTCCAAACTTGGGGGCGTTCCAACCGACATTCGCTGTAGGTTACACTGTCAGTGAAATGGAATGCACCATTGAGGCTCTATTCATACCAACATTTGTCTCTGTTGCAGCGGTGGGATGCCTTCTAACAGAATAACGCCTGAATTCTCCAAATGGGCCAGTGACGGTAAGAAGGGCTAAGACATTTTATTCATAATGTTTTAATATGATTTTAGTATCGCAAGTCTTCATATAAAGATTATAGTTACTTACACAAGAGATAATTTGCCAAGAATGTTGGATATTTATTTTCTCCTCATTTTGACTCATGGTTTTTGAATCTGCAGGGAGGTGTGTGAATGCTTATTGCAGCTACAACAGTCACTCTCCAGTGTTAACCACATTACCTGTTTGTGTGTTTTCAGAGATGCCTTCAACGAGCAATGGAGAAAGCAGCAAGACAGACCCCAGCACCCCTTCATCCTCCTCCTCTTCCTCCTGCGCCCCGCGCACCTGTAAAAACAGTGAGATCGAAAAGTAGGTTACACATATGTACAGACACGCACGCATATCATGATCTAGTTGTAAAAGGTGAGACAGAAAATGACTCTGTCATGTTTCCCATCGCAGTATCAGACCGATTTCACACACACACACACACGGTGATTCTATGACTTTGTGATGAGTTTTTGTACTTGTGGGAGAGTCGACTTGTAGAGGGTCATAAATGATGCATTTTGTGTGGATTCTGTTTTTGCCGTGTGTGTGTGTGTGTGTGTGTGTGAGTGACAGGGAGGGTCTCTCCAGGTATTGATTTTTCTTGCAGTTGTGTTCTCTCTGAGCACAGAGCTGCCTTAGAATCATTAATGGGGACGTAGACACAAGCAGATACAAGGCACACGCTGGTTTCAAGGCAGCAGGGTGAAAACATGCAAATGTTTGTTCACACTGTTTAGACACATGCTTTCAACAACACCGTTTATACACCACGACATGATGCATGATAAACAGCTGTTTTCTCATAGTTTTCAAGTAAAGCTTTTTAAGAATGGCAGGACGATGACACTGAACATCACACACATGGCATTTATACAGGTAGCACTTAGATTACAGATGTTGTTTCTGTATTATTTTTTGATCATATCTTGGCTCCCATTTGGAATTGGGTAATAGACTGTTACTGACCAGTTGGACAGGAGGAAAGCAAATTACCCTCATGGCACACACAAAATTACACCACATAATGAACTATCATGCAAACAGAGAGAAAAAAAAATCTTTGTTCTTATTAACAATATATATATAGACTTTTGGGAGATAATCTTAGATCAAATATTATTGCTTTTCCCACATCTGTTTAGTGTGCTGCAGGAATGAGTCCAAAAGACAAGGAATGAGTTAGCATTTTAGCACTTCCGGTACCCTCATCACGAAGTCACTGGGTTTTTTAAATGAGTTGGTTTTGGTTATTCAGATGCCTGAAATAAGGTCTGTGGTTAACACAAGCTGAAGAGACTTTCACATTTGCTCTTTGACAAGAAATACACTGGTGAATTCCCACTCATCATTTCTGAAGCTTTAACGTGTCTTAAAAAAGACAGTTGCAAACAAGTGGCTAACACGGCTTTACAGCCTTGTTGTGGTGGCTCATGCGACCGTGGTGTAGTTTATTAATAGCCTTAGTTCGCTTTTATTTCTGTTCGTTGCATTTATGATTAAAAAATCATAAAGTGGTGTTCATTTGTAAAGATTATTTTGCAGAACAAAACATGTCACAAACTGATGTTTGCCACACAGCTTATTTTCTGCAATACTCCAAAGTCCAGTGGAAAAATCCCATAGGCTTTTTGTTAAAGGAAGCAGGGTGATGTTAATTTCCAGACTGGCCCCCAAAAAAGGTCATCCCTGCAGCTCCTAGTAGTTCAACTTTCAACCAAAAATGGTAGCATTATTAACACCAATTAGAAGTATAAAATTGTCAGAGAGTGGAACATTCTTGTGGCATCACATACCTCCTCTGCACCTTAACACTAGTAATGTAATACGATTGTGTATGTTTATCAGTAAAGCAGAAATTAGGGCTGTACCTGAATCAGAATTTTTCAAGTCGTCTCTGAATTTTTTTTATTTTTTTTTTCTGAAATAATCAAAAGTGTGTGTCCTGGTCATAGTTCAGTAAAATAATCCGTGTCCGTGCTGATTCACTGCTGACAGGATGATGTGCTTGTGTCTAGTTCAATCATAGTTTAGCAAACTTGGCTGCATTCAGCACTGGAGCTGAGAGCGTTGAAGCACCACACAGAAACAAGTTAGTTTTGTAATTGCGAAATGGAGACGTTTAAAGCCCTCCATGCAGATATCCTGTGTTGCTCAATGCACAGCTGAATAAAGTGCCGTGATTTAACTGACAACGTGAGATCAGACTTGGGGAAACTTTAAATCATCAAAGTTTAGGAAGTAGCCCCAGCAGATATACTCCAAAAATCTCAAGTTCTTAAATATGTCATATTGACCTGTATATATGACTGCAGCTAGAGGCTGGATTGGACATTACAAAGAAAATCCCCTCACCCAGCTGTGATTTAAACATACACTCACATTCACAAGCGGACACACTGGCCTATTCATTAGAACACCCTGTGTGTGAAAGGCCAGCGCTCTGTAATTCCCTCATTTCCATCTCCTCATCCATATTCTGCCACAAGTAAACAATCTCACACACACACGCCCTGTCCCCTGCATGGGTAATAGAGGTCAGCTCATTGCGAGAGCGAGAGAGAAACGTCGGTGGGCAAAGAGAAAGAGGGATTTGGTTGATTGGTTGCTGCTGCATGTCTGGCATATTCTCCTGTCCATTTGCCCCATGCGATTACAGGCACACTCATACACACACTGAGCTGGGGTCAGTCTGCTTGTTGCCTTCCATCCCAGACCCTATTTCTTAAAGTGATTTCCTTTGTCCACCTGGAGTACCTTTAGGAATACCCCCTAAAAAGCAGCACTCTCATCTCGTTTTCTTAACCTTTCCCTTTCCCAGTCATTTCCTCAGGCAAAATGTTAAAATATAAATGATTGGAGTGTGTTGTCTTCCCTGTTATTGCAAACGTCTCTCAAGGCTGCATTGGCCACCAGAGCAGGACACTAATGACAGAATTTACTTTAGGAAAGTTTTAAACGTATATTTCCTAAAAATATGAAATTTTTGTAGCTTTATGTGTAGTATTCTCCATGTATCTGTCACCTCTTGATAGGCTGCGTGCAATTAATGCTTCATTTCAATGAATCAATCAGCGCTCAGTGTGTGTGTTCCCCATATTAAATATCAGCAGATGGGATAACTGGTGAATAAGCAGAGCAGCTTGAAGTGTATTGATCAGAAACAGCACAGCAAGGCAAAAGGTGTGTGTGTGTGTGTGTGTGTGTGTGTGTGTGTGTGTGTGTGTGTGTTTGCTGAGCGAGGGGATGCATTCGATAAGTTGTTTGTGCTGTGATCCTCCTTGTTTCATTTTGTGTGTGTGTCTGTGTGTTATTGTGTGTGTGAGAGAGAGAGATGTAGGCAGGTCAGTGTGGCTGAGTAGAGAGGCAGTGGTCAGATGGTGCTGATTGATCTAGTTTTGCACACACACACTCATGCACAGTTGGTGTGGTACTGATGTCAGTGAGGACAAGGTGCTCTTCTCATGCTGCTCTGTTTGCATAGCTTAGAGGACAGTTGTAGCTCATCAGTGAGTTTGAGTTTCTTTTCAGAGCTGTCATTTACTCCAAGTTATTTATTTTCCTGCTACAGACCATACATTACATCGGACTTATGTTGGTAAACAAATCATTTCTGGAAATGAACTCAATCTCAAAGATTTAGTTTAGTGAGAATCATCTTGCTTGCCTAACACTCATTGCTAAGAACTACCTGAAATTCTAACATTTCCCAAAGAAAATGTGAGGTTATGACTTTGTCACGGTCAAAATGTGGTTGTACTTGTTGCTACATGTTGTCCTAGCTGAGGTCTTAGTGGCCACCTAGAGAAGAGCATGCCTTAATCGAAGTATCCATTTAAAGGGAGCCAACTAGATGCTGAATGATTGCAATGGAACAAGCAGTCAGCTGGCTGGAACAATTCCCTGCCTCACTCTTCTCCGCTTGCTATAAATGCACGTATTTGTGGAGCTTCTGTGCCCCTCCATCCCCAAATGAAAATGAGATTTGTCTCCTTTCGTTACATTGATACATTGTACAAGTGTGTGTGTGGCTTTGCACGGGGGCAGCGTCAGTGAAATCTCTCTCTCTCTCTGTCTCTGATCCCAGATGGGTAATGATCTGGTCGCCTCCCGGGGCGTCCTCGTTCCCTTGCTCATTCCCCCGCAAGATAAATGAGCTCACATACACACACACACACACACACACACACACGTATACACGTACAACGCCTGAGACGCTCTTTCCCCTCCAAGATAAATGGCCCCTCCAATGCCGCCAATGCGATTGCTGCCAAATTTGGTGCTCCAGCTGGAACAATGCGGAGAGATTTCCATGTGGTTTCTGCAAATAATTGAATCTGTCCTCAATTTGGAAGTGATGAAGCTAGATTTCTACCCCCCCCCCCCCCACACACACACACACACACACACACACACACACATACACACTGCCCAGTCGCTCTCGCTGCCTTTTCTCTCTGGTTCTTCTCTTTATTGTTGTCGCTAAGCCACATTTCTCTCTCTTTCTCCCTTCTTTCTCTTTCCCATTTCTCTTTTCTTCCCATCCTCTGTCTCAATTTTTTCTCAGGCACTTACAAAACGGCCCCCTCCTTTTTCATTTTGCCATCTGAGACCTACACACATACACACACAGATCGGGCTGAGGCAGGGGAAATCAATAGTGACTTAAATGTTTTATCATGGTGTGTCAGTGTAGTTAAGGCCTCGGTTAACAGGGTGCAGCAGAGAATGATGCTCTAAAGGGATTTACCGCTGCTATTTTCACAGCACCTACGTGCAAGAGATTTATTTACCTACCTGCTGATAAAATGTTTGCTTGAATATTGTGTTTTTAGAATTAATTGTTATGTAATTTTGTCATTTGCTGTGTGCTTGTGTTGAGAGAGAGGGAGGCTGAGTGAGGCCAAAATGTAGGTAGACAGTAGATTAAGACACTGGGCTGATTGAGACGGATGGCGGAGGTCTTCAGCTACACACAGACACACACACACTAATGAAATGAGAAATAGCCCCACACACGTTGGGGACAGAGCGCTAAATAGAGGGGAGGCACAGCCATCTATCTGTCTCTGTCAGGCTTTCGTGCTTGCTTGTCGCCATAGGGGTGACTGGAGATGGAAATGCACCGCAGTTTCACTTTCTTTCACTCACACACATGCACACAGCATTCAAAAAGCCCTGTGGGCCAGTAACTAAGTTGGAGTAGCAGCGTGTTGCATGAATGGAAGCTGTATTTCAGTATTGGTTCCTCAGGTTTTACGATGGCAGGCCTTTAAGATCAAGGCCACAGCTTCGGTTTAAAACCTACCAAGCCAGAGCCT